CTCCTAAAAAGACTTTCCACATATTTCTGCAAACATTTTATATCTGAAGGCAAAAGGCTAAAGAGTGTTCTGCAATTCTGTAAATCCACTTCCATCAAATAAAACAAAGTGTTTCCAAAATATTTAACTCTTACTACAGGATCTGTCACATGCTAGAGCAGCTAACAGATTATAGGACCACCCAGTAGGGGAGCAAGTACCCTTTCCCACACAATCTCCATTTTAAAAAATACACATACACACACTCAGAGGATAGGACACAAACTCCCATTGGGCTTCTTGTTTGTGAGAATGCTTTCGAAAAAGAAATCAATATATGGAATCACATTGCTGCTTTTCTGGCTGGTCCAGCCAAGTCTCCCTTGCTATATGAAGGTGAAGTTAGCACTGGGGGATTTGAAGGTTACTAAGGCTCTAGTTCAAGACGACACCCAAATCATGAGCTTTTCTACTATCACTGCTCACATGCTTCAGGACCTTCCTAGGCTGGGAAGTAAAATCACATTTGTACAAAGCTCACTAAAACAAAACAAAGAATCACATAGGAAAAAAGAAATATAGATAAGAAACTGGAGATCAGAAGAAATCCATTACTTACATGACAAGAAAGGATAAACTTAGGCAGTAAGAAATCCCTATAGGGAGTATTCCTCCATAAGAAACAGTAGGAGGGAGAGTAAGACGATCTGAAAAGAGACATCAATTTCTAGCAGCAGTGGGCAGCTGCAAAATAAAAACAAGTGATTCCAAAAGACCTTTTTAGTGTCTGAGAGTATCCTATTATAACATGCAGTAAAAGCACACCTCTGAGTTGCCAACAATGTCATTGCAAGGGAACCACTATACTGAGGTGGATTGTGACATTAAAAGTGGTGCAAGTGCAGCCCTTGGAGGGTGGCTCCATGTGTTCGCTAATTAATGGTACCCAGGAAAGAATGCCAGGTTCAGTATAAAGGCTGACTTAACACAGAGCTACCTCAAAATCAACTCTTCCCATGAATAAGTTACTTGAGGTTTGAAGACTAAAAAGGAGAAAAAGGCAATGTGGACATTTTTTCTTATTTTTAAATATTAAAAAAAGATTGTTCATTTTGAAGAAAAAAAAGTGCTTTTTAAACTGTTATTCAAGAATTAACTACTCTGACTAACATGTGAGAAACACAGCTTTATGTCTGCAGTAACACTGGATGGAAAGGAAATATTCCTTTCTAAGTGTCTGAACACCAAACCTCCTGTGCATCTTGGGCAGTCCTTTAACTCATCTACAGGCAAAAAGATGTATCTACAGGAACCCAAAGGGAAAGTACACAAAACACCTTAAATTAGCACTTTGAGAAAGCATCTCTCAGAATAAAAGGAGTAAAGATTCCGAAGAAATTAGTAATCTGCTATGATCTTAAGTTTTAAGCACGAGCAAAGCTCCTTAAAAAAAAAAGGCACAATAGTCTTCCAAAACCTTACAGAAACTGTTTTCAGTGAAAACTCCAACAGATATTTATATCAAGCTTAAGAGTGCTTTGGTGGTGAGTGAGAGAGATACCTACTTGCCATATCACAACATGTGACAGAAAAGAACTAGCATGGCAGAAATTGATGGCACTCCACTTGACATATGGGATGTGTTCTGATGTCAGCTAAATTTATGCCATATGCTACAAAGCATAGTGTAGTGTCTGCCTTTTCTGGAACACAAACAACTTGCTGACACTAAATGGAAAGTTCACCACAGGATTTACATCATCTTTGACCTAATTGTGACAGCCTAGGACAGAACTACTCAGGCTGCTCCTTAGGACTCCAGATTTTTTGGGTGATGCATGTATTTATTGTTCAAACACATTACTCCATATTAGGAAAATTATCACTGTAACCATTTCAGGTACTGACACAAGTTAACACCCCATTCTGCATTCTGGTAGAAAAAAGCAGGTCTGCATGAATTAAAAACAAAAAACAAGGAGAGGCAGGGCCCCAAAGCAGGCGGAGTAACTGGGTAAATGTTGCCCACACATGTGTCTGACATGCAGATGTTTTTAAATGTCTCCACCCACATCCAGATGGGCACAGCAGGAATATATTATATGAAAAAATGTGTTGGGAGTTGTGCAGGGACTAGAAAAAAAAAATCAGAAGTTAAGTGTGAAAATCCTCCCGGCAGTGGAGTTTTGACCTGTCCCCATTTAACACAACAGCCCCAGATATTTGCTTTGGTAACAGAAGCAAGGCAGTAGTAGACAAAAACACGATCAAATGGTTTGGCTGAGTTAAGCCTCAAGCAACCCCAAAACATCTTATTAACTTTCCCAATAAACTTTTCCCTGCTTCACCGCCTTTAGATTTTACTTCCCCTGAAGCCTCAAACCTCCTATCCAGAGAGCAGTTTTGTCATCTCACGGTTTTCTTTGACAGAACATTACTTAGTTTAATACTGTTTGTTAAGGAAAGTGGGAATCAGAACTGAAGCTGGACAACAGGAACTCATTGTCCTTGTAAATTCATCTGCTGCCAAGGAGGGAGTCTGAACAAGAATCCAAGAGGCAGAATTAGTGATGCAGCCCTACCTTACCAAGAATAAGAAAACAGATGAAAGTGAAATCATGTTGGGGGGGGGGGGGAAGCTGAGATCTTCTAAAGCCTGCCAACTTTGAGACAATAAATGAGCAAAACCAGCACCAGTAGGAAAGGGACTCAGGCAAGCCAGTCTCCTTATACTAACTCTTTGGTGCTCGCAGGCATAAAAGCAAAGATATCCACATCAGCAGTATGACATGTTTATTTAGATGAGTTAACTGTAAAAACACTTGCCAAGTTATTTGCAGGCTGTGCCAAGTATATGTCAGAACCCAACAGACTGATCTTAGAGCAACAATTGTAGAGAATCACAATTTTGCTGTCTCTCTCTTAACAGCTGTTGACTAAATAACCATATTTTTCCAGGAAAGATTAGATGTCAATTTGTTTTCTTTTCCTGCTTGAACAGGAGTAGCAAGAAAGCTCGGAGTTGGTTTCTAAGGAAGTCCCCCACCTCCCGCAGTCTGTTTCATAAGCAACCAGCCTTTCCACTCTGCCCCCAAAACAGTCTGGAAAGAGAAAAAGGTTATTCAATGACCAGAGACTCATTTTTACCTCAATAAAGTTATCCAACACTAAATTATCAAATATAGACTTTAAAGAGGAGAAATTCTCCATTTGTGCAAAAATACTTCGGCAATAGCCAGAGACTTAAAGGAAATAAAGAGAAAGCACCTAACAGCTTATGAGGTTAGGTTAGAAATTAATTAAACTGCTAAGTCACAGCACAGGACACATCCTAAACATGGTGGTTGCTCCCCCGCCCCCGAAAGATGTTCTCTCACACTGAAAATATTTTTGTGGAATTAGAAGAAATAATGGAAAAAAAAAAAATGGAAGAGATGGTGAAAAGCAATTGATCCTCATTAACAGTGTCAAAGAGCTCCCAGTGCCTGCTTCCGGAATGACTAATTTCTTCTGCCACTACCTGGTTTATTTTAAAAATGGATTATTTAAACTTCCAAGCATTTGATGTCAGATATATACATGAATACTGCAAAATACGAACAAGAAACATTGAAGGCAGCCCTTTTAAATACATGTTCTTCACAAAATTGCATCCGCTCTAGACAGAGTGAATTTTATGCTGTGTATTAAAGATGGTAGATGTTTGAGGTCACTGTGGGAAACACAGGAAACCCCACAGCACTCTGATCAAGAGTCTCAGAAGCCTCTGAAAAACCCAGAGTTCCATTACATTCAGCAGGACACTTCTGTGCTGCAATGGACACAAACAGCAAAGGCTGCTGTAGACATACCACATACAAAAGGCTTTGACATCCTCCAGTGTGAAAGCTTGTGTTAGAAGAGGAGATATCACCAAGAATATTGCAAAAGAAACGTATTATTTGGCAAGTGCTTCCAGAGTTTACAGAGGTATATCCTATTTTAAATGTTGAACACTGTTGGACACCTCTGTGAAGTGGTATTGACAAATGCGGTCTCTTGAAGAAGAAAACTGTAAGGAATTCTTCTATTTTAGAGGCAGCAGATGCATTGTGTATTGGCATGACTGGTATTGGAACTGCAGCATACATAGAAGTCACATAAAACCCACAGCAAGGTCCAGATCATACATTAATGTTGCTGTAATCCGTGCACAAGTCTTCTGCCAAATGTGTCAAATTTTCCCCTATAATGGAGCTATTTTGCTCACTGGGCCATATCCTGCATTTTTGAGTCACACACATTTTAGGCATTTAACAGAGCAACAACCACTTGCAGAGAAAGAAAACTAATTGCAATAACATATCCAGTCTATATAAAATTGTTCTGTTCATAAAACTTAAGATTGCAATATTTCTTTACTAATGAGACATGGGCAAAGCTGGCAAGCCTCAAATATTATAACTTACTGTTTTTACACCAAATGTGTAAAGTCAATAGTATAACTCTAATAAATAATAATAATAAATATACCTAGAAATGTAGATACTAACAATCAATTTATTCAATCACAACATATACTCATTCACCCATGCAAGACAGATATACACACTCACACCTGCCATTCTGGGCTGGATCCCGTAAAAAGTCAAATTTTCTCCTTAACAGAGTTCATGAAATGCAAGACTCGGAGAAGGAGTAAAATGAAATGGAAGGCTGTGTAATTCATCACACCCTGACAGACATACTGAAGGTTAGAAAGCTGTAACTAATCTAACTAGTTTCATTAATTTTTATATGTATAAATAGAAGAGTGAGAGAATGTTATTGACATTTTATTTATATATAAAAGTATCAACAGCTAAGGCAGTCAGGAAATTCTGTGTGCAAGAGAAAGGTAAGTTATCTACAATCCATTTGGCAGTACTTGCAGATGTGTCTAAAGTAAACTGATACATGAAGATGAAAAATAACCAAAAAGTGCTCAATGTGCGAAGCGTCTCACAACCAAGGTCACAATCAGATTTACACCATGAACATACCTGGCATATTCCACTGATGCACATATCCAAGGATTCAGTATTGCAGCGAGTACCATCTAGCACTTTTGGGGCAAGCTCCACAATCAAGTTCTTTCCCAGAGCTTGACATTTCAGGGCACACGGTGCAGTAGGATCATTATACACAGGGATCCACTCATAAAAATGTCCCTGGTATTTGACATCATTGTAGGCTGAACACTGTTGTGCTCTAAAGTCACCAACATCTGAAGGGCAGTCCTAAAAACAAACCAAAGGAAGTATTTTTTTGAGAAGGGAATACTTTGCATTTGCAGTAAAGTTATCTGATGAATTACACAGAATCTGTTTGGGGAGGCTTGGTTCAAGAACCGATCTGCTATGACAAATATGCCATATTGCAAAGTTTTACTGTGTGTATTAAAAGAATTTAGGTTGCTTAATCCCTTGCTTGACGTGCAAGTTAACAATATCATGCATATTCCAGTAATAACAACATAACTGATATGAAAGGATAATTAGAAATGCTACTTTTTATGACACTATGTAGTATATTTAAAGTCTAGTTCTGTAATAAGAATTAGCTTCTAAAGGAATCTCTATATTTTAAGTGACTATAGCGAGATGGCTGACATTTAATATTTCTCTTTTCAATAGCTTTTTCTACTTAAGGATTTCTGAGTGCTCTGCACTCATTCATCAATTGATATGTCAGCGTAATGAAAGAGGTATTATTGCTACTTATACATAAAGAAGTAAAAATGTGTCTAATTGTTCAGTATTGCTCAGAAAGGGGACGAGAGCATTAGGAGGAGACACCAGAACTTTCAGTGCTTAGTCCTTTAGTCTAATTACAAAATACCTTCACTTCACGGAAGCAGTAAGGCTTACTTTGTTGAAATAAAATATACTTCAAATTGGTAACTATTGATTATATAGTTCCAGTTCTAATGAGACAGTTCCATACCTCCTCCCATACAGAGCCTCAGCGCATGCAGCTGAAAGACCACATATGAAAACTGTTTGAAATAAAATATTCTAAAATATTTTTTCTACATAAAGCATTGCACCCAAACAATGATGTTAATATTAAACTATGTTGACAGGAATGGAGATGAATACTGATTTATTCAAAAATAACCTTGGTAAAGCACTGACAAAGGAGTTAGTGTGTCAAACAATTTCTCACTAAAGACTTCATCTGAAAGTATGTCCAGTGTCAAACAGTCCATACACCAGACTGAAAGAATATTCTTCCAAGAATTCCAACTGCACATATAAGCCAGATGTGAGGCTGATCTTAACAAAGTTTTGTTTTCATTGGATATAAGACTGAAAGATTGTGATGTGTCAGCTGAACTCATGGAGCTTATTACTAAGTAGTAGTTAACAGTACTAATCCTGAACACAGCTTCAACCTTATCAATGAACTGAACCTTCCCTGAAAAAAAGCTAACGAAATAGTAAGTGCATTACACAGTACTGGAGATGAAAATATACATTAGAAATGTTCGAATTCCAGTCCAATGGCCTCAAAAATGTTGCCCTGACACCATTTTGCTCTTATGAATCTGGATGACTTGGCACTGTATTAGCTTAATACCTTGTCAATGACCCAGATTTCTTTCACCATAGAAAACAGTAACCTAGAAATGTCTCTGGTTTATTTGCAGTCTGCATAAAATATCCTCTAAATCAGTATTCTCTCTGCTGATCAACACAAGGCATTTTTTGCAACTGAGCACCAAGCAATTCACTGAGCTTTCCCAGCAATGCTTTTCGACTCTGTCCAGTGCTACACCTTACGGTGAGGACAACTCAGAACAATGCTAATACATTTTGTATTATTTTTAATCTGGGATAATACTGTTTTGAGCCATATTCTTTTTAAAAAACTATAAAATGATGGAATAAGACAAGGAGAAATTACAGTTACTGTAATTCTTTGAGAGTTTAACTTTGCAAAATCCCACAAGTGAGAGCTTCTAAAAACATTGAGCAAATACTGGTACAAACCTCCCTTATTTACTGCAGTGTCACTCCCAAGAAATTCACCAAATTTGCACTGGTGTAAATAAGAGCAGAATTTGGCTCTGACTTATCTGTCACCTCTCATTTTCCACAATAGCAAGTCTAAAAAGCAGAGAGGACTTCAGAGTTCATATGGATACCATATGGTTCCCTTCCACCATTGCAAATAGAGGAGTAGCTAAGGATAAAAACAATAAGTGGAAGTTAGATTCAGGTAAAGTTAGAAGGAATATTTTGGAGTAGTGTTATTCAGCCATGCACAGCTACATTTTCATCACAAAGAATTAAAGAGCTATCTGTAAAACAGGCAGAGCGATGGCCTTAGGCTGACTTTTGACAGGCTGTTGTTGCAATTCATTATCACTCGGTGTTGATGCAATGCCAAGACACAAACACCACAATGTCAGGATGTCAATCTGTGGTTACTGTATGTTTCTCATTGATTCAACACAATGCAGCTCCTTCCTTCCACTCACTTCCTGGCTGCTTGAGAGCAAGTGAATTCTCATCTCCCTATTCTGTTTTGGCATCTTCAGAGAACACAGAGCAATCCTGGCAGCTCGAGTCATATGCCAGTTGCACCTGCTTTATGTTTGAGCTGTGTTCAAAACCAGGAGCATAAAAAGAACATCACAAAGGGATATCAAAGGGCTGAAATTATTATCATTTACATTATATCAGCATTTGGATGGCAATCAAGTTCAGATCCCTGTTTTCCTGGAAACAGTACATATTTGTATAAAGAAAGGAGTTTATAATCTGAACAGAAAGACAACTAAACACAGAAAGGAATGTAATCACGACAACAAGAGGACTTGTACATTTCAGGTTAATTCCATTAGAGTGGGTCAGAAAAGTGAGAGGGAGTTTAAAAAATAGCAGTGAAGGGCGGGGGGGGGGGGGGGGGGGACACAAGAGGGGGGGCGGGGGGG